TTAACACTGCATTATGATGCTGGCATAGGCTAGTGAAGTTTAACAATATCCTCAGTTGATGGAGGAAAGCAGTATATTTTTGGGTTCAGTTGCTCCACCTGCTGCTTCAGGTAGGGTGTAGTTCTGATATTTTCTGTAGGATGTATTTTTTAATTAGTCACTGACCAGAATTCTGCAAGTAACAAAATAATTGAACAGTTTCTCTTTCAAGTAAAATAAAGCAGAAACATAAAATTGTAATTAAATCACCAAGGCAATCAAGATGTGTCAAGTTTTACAAACAATATAACAAAAGTTTGCTACACTCAAGGAAATAGAGTCATACTGGTCTGACAGAAGTAGCTCTATATAGAATAAATCAGAATTGTCTGGGAGATATGGCACAGGCCCTTGCCTCCTTATAGAAGGTGTAATATAGCACAACATGGCCAGTGGATTCAATGGATCCTTCTTTACAAGGACACAGTCTTAGTTCATAAGGAACTTTTTCATGGGGGATAGCTATTGTGAGGGCATTGAACTAATATTACTGCTTTTCAGACTTTGGGAATGGTTATTTGAGTTAAATAACTTGCCAGATTGAAAAATCCTTGACTACTCCAGCTTGTCTATCCAGAAACACATTCCTGGATAGGGCAGATTGGTCCAATAGGCCCTCCATGTCTCTAGCATGTTACTTGAGTACATAAGGGCGCAATCATAGCCCATCATCAAAGTAACTCTTTTGATAACCCAGAGTATTGCTGTTTCTGCAAGGATTATGCTTTTCATGTAGAATCATGATTATCCACCATATTCAGAGAACCTAGACACAAAGAACCTAGAAGGGAAAAAACAACTCTAGGCAGTGAGCAGTAATTCAGTTTCATATGTCCATATCTTCTTCAATCAGAACAGCCTTTCTCCTTATAACCACATTAGGTACACATGAGCCCACTTGAAATATAGCTGTTAAAAATTTAGATTGAACCCTTTCCAGAGGGGCAAAAAGCAATGTACAGTAGTCTCAAATGAATTCCAGACAAAAGTTGTGTATATACTTTAGCCAAAGCCAGCTTTATCACTGTTGGGATATGCTGGGTCCCTCTGGCAATATAAAAGGATTATATTGCTGGCACTGAATTTGTGTCCTTTGAACTACATAATTTTGATATGACCTGTATTTGATGGAGCTATGAAAACTATGCCCAAGTATTTAAATATTTTAAATTGCTCTGTTGTCTTAACCATTTAACTGCTAGGCATGCACTCTAGGTTGCTTTGCAAAAACTAGGATCTTGATTTTAGTAGAATTGATCTCAAGTGCTGCCTCAGAACCATAAGTGACTATTGTTTTAATCCAGTTAGTGTTTGCCATAGGAGTACTACATCATTTGCACATACTGAGATTGCATTTATTGGAGACCTAGAATACTTTCAACCTAATGGCAGCCAATATGACAACTGCAAGTCTATAGCAGCATGTTACTCTGTCTCCCCTCTTCCCTGAGAGAGGGGGGAAAAATAGGCTTGACTGTGAAGTTACTCTCAGTGATGGGAGAATGGTTTACCCTTCCAAATTATGGCATTCATGTTGAATATTTATAAAAGATGTCACATAGGTTAAAGAATCTTGGAGGGTTCTTGCTAGTTTTGTTTTTTTGTGAGTGCTACTATTTAGTCTTAATAATTGTTTTATTAAAATGTCAGTGCTACACCTATTCTGTGATAGGGGGTATATGTAATGCACCCCCATCTTCCTGTTCCCACCCTTTCTGCAGAATTAAGAGGAGTTTTAATCCAAAATTTACTATCACAAATGAGATTTTATAGTCAGATTTTTTTCTTGTTCATTTTCTTAATAAAGAATAATTGAGCTGAGAGTTACTTCTTGCATATGAGCAGAATTGTCTGTTTAAAATTAGTTTTGTTTATCCTTTTTTCTCATTATGAAATATTGAATTGTACTATACAACTGTTTAATAAAATGAAAATCCTTAACATAAAAAGTAAATAACTTCTGCAAATGTTCTCTAGAAGCTGAAGAATACAATTAACTTTAAAGGTTCAATATGGAGGAAGCTTATAGAGAAAGTAACTTGAAACAATAGAAAAGGCATATACAGGTAGTTCTTATTTAGCAACTGCAGTATGTTCTGGTGATATAGTCGCTAAGCGACATGGTCACTAAGCAAACCACATGACAGAGAGAGAGAGAGAGAGATGCTGCAAAGATCACTGGCTGCTGCCACTTCATTTAGATAAAGTTCTCTTGTGCAGCAACACCAGCATTACTCTCACTCTGGTGTGTGTTGTTTGTCTGGTCCAGAAATTTGGGTGGAAGTGCATGCATTGGTCAGAAAATGATTTTTTTACTACTGTTTACTACAGTTTATTACTGTCATGTTTGTGAACAGTTGCTTTCCGAGTTAGTTGCTAAACGAGGACTATCTGTGTATGTGTGTGGGTGTATGTGTGTGTGTGTGCACGCGTGGGTTATAAATTGGGTGTCTATAACATCTACAGTGCTATTTGTTGGTCTCATCTATTCATGATACTTCCTTCTTGGGATGGCTCTGAAGTACTACATTTCTTGTCTACCTTTATAGCTTCCAAAAAGGGTTGGTCAATTGTAGCTCGGCAGTCTTCTCACACCACCTACTACATTTTCACTTGAGTGCCTGTGCCTTATCCCATTCACATGGGAATCATCTCATGTAATGAGAACTGTCTCCTATTTCACCCTTTGTTGAATCTTCTTAGAAGCCTGGCCGCTATCTTTGCACTAGTGACAATTTACAGATACCTTTCAAATATGTCATACTTAAAGTATATTGCAGTAGTCAAAACAGGTTGAACCAAGCTCTGAATAACAGTTGCTAAGTTGGACTGGCTCAAAAAGTATTTTATTAGAGCACTAGCTGTAATTATGCAGATGTACTGTCTGCCCTGCCATGGTCATTACCTGCAAATATAGTGATAGCTGGGGATCAGGAAGCATTCCCAAACTGTGAACCTGCTTTTTCTAGAAGAGTGCAATCCCATCCTGAAAAACGATTCACCCCCACCCCACCCCCAGTCCAGCTTTCTCCTTACCAACAACACCTGTGCCTTTGCATATAATTTCAACTTATTCTCCTTCATGTAGCTCATTATCAAGATTAGGCAATGTTCAAGGCTATTGATTATTTCCTTGGAGTTGTTAAAAGCCAGCTCCGATGATGGCATCCCATTCCAAAGCACCAAATGACCTCTCCCACTGGTTTCAGGCAAATGTTAAACAGCCTGGGGAACAAGATAGAAATCTGGGGAATATCATCAGTCAGTGATGTAAATGTCAAACAATAGTCCTCCAGAACCATCTTCTCAACAGGAAGGAATGGAACAGCTGCAGAAGAGTCCCCCTGAGGCTCAATCCTGCCAGATGGCCCAGAAGAATGCCGTGGTCAGTGGTATCAAAAGCTACTGAGAGATCCAGAAGAACTAGCAGGCTTGCTAGTTTCCAGCATTGGTCATCCACCAAAATGACCAAAGCAGTCTCAGTATTACATTCCAGATGAAACCATGATTGAAATGGCTGTTTGTGTATCTTTGTATGTGACATACACATGTAGTTACAAACTGCTATATATGCTAACTATGTAACTCTGTAAACAATACGGTGACAAAGGAACTCTAGTGATTTGTAAATAATAATAATACTTCCCATGTGATAAATTGCTTTTTGTAGAGTCACTATTGTTATCACCTGGGGTTCTTGTGTGACAGAGGATTTCAGGAAAAGATTCACTTTCTAATCTGCTGGATATATTCATTTCATTTATCCTTTATTCTTTAAGCTAATGATAGAACATAGAGAAATTGAGAGAATAGATCAGACCATTATTAGTTTTGGAACCTTAATTCCTTCAATTTCAAATAAAATAGAGGTTAAACAATTCCTCTTCAGGTAAAGAACATATCCTATATCTCTGTGCTTATATTAAATTAAATATATTTGCATATTTCCAGAACTAAGTTTGTTTAGCTGTTAACTTCTTACAAATGAGGAAACCTATCTATTTTAGAATGTGCTTCCCTTTCAGTTTTCCCAGTGGGGAAGTTTTTGCAGTATATGAAATTATGCCCTTATTTTCTCTTATTTCTCCATAGAGATAAGAACTATTATCACATTTACCATAAAAACAAATCTTGTAAAATATAATAGTTGGATGGTTTCTATAGATCCTGATGATTTTTTTTTTTAAAGTAAGAACTTTCTGAAATCTTTTGAACACTACTTTATTATCTTCATTATCTTAACTTCTCATTTTTCATTAACTTAACTTCCCAAATTATAAGAGTATAATAGCATTGCATGGTATCTAACATTTGATTGGCAGATTAAAAATTATGGGGACACCTATATTCAGATTACCCCATCTGCCATGACCCACTTGGTAAGTACTTTGCATATAAAGCCCAAGCTGTATATCACAGTTTGGCCATGAAATGCCCTTTGTCTTTAGCTTAAACAACTCTGAAGATGCTGACAGGGCAGTTAGAAAGCTATATCTAACCATGTAGGCTGTGTACTTTTGGCTATGAAAAGTAAGGAATGCCTTCTCACTGTTAAATCAAGGATGTAATCATTTTCTATTAGGTTTTAATTGCTGAGAACTCATTTTTGGCTGTGAAATAAGAGAAAAAGTTCTCTGAAACATAAACATCCAGATGACTGCATATCAGTCAAGAAACTCTGTGTACATGCTCATGCCTATATAGTTTCTAAGCAAACATCATAGTTTCAACTCCACGCAAAGTCAAAAAGTGGACCAGTTTTAAATAAAAAATGAAAAGAGAGTTTGGTAACAAATGGATGGTCCAATTTTGTTCCTTTTTTTTTCTATGTAGAGCCATGTATTCTTATAGCTGTTCACTATACGTTTTATCTGCTAATATGGTAGTATGGAATAAAATATTTCTATTGTCTCTTTATAACCTTCACATACTGTATGATATAAAATTCCTCTCTCTTTCAGAGCTATCATCAACCACTTCAATCCAAAGATAGAGTCATACGCTGCTGTTAATCACATTTCACAGCTCTCTGAAGAGCAGGTGAGTTGCATACTTTTTTTGCTAGTGGTACCTAGATCATTCTTGATTATACACTAGTCCAGAAAAGACCATTCTCCCATCTAGCTGAAACAGAAGTCTTTCAGTAGCCCAGCATGTACTTACCAAGCTGTCAATATCACAGTTTATGAGCAAGAACAGGAACTTCTGGTGCTACACAATTATAATCCTGGAAAGGAGCATAACAAGTAAGGTAGACTTCCTCAAGAATCATCTAGAATAGTGTAAGAGTGGCAGTGGAATCAAATGTTCTCCTTTGTAAATGTGTGCTCCTGGTAATTAATGGATCTGGAAATGAGTGAGATGGGCGGTGACTAAATTTGAAATATAAATAAATAAAATAAAAACAAATATGTAATAAGGTATTGGCAGGTACTGTTATGCCTGTTAGAGCAATAGATGGGATGCTGCTATATTGGAGAACTGCTGGACAAATTAAAATATACACAGTGGTAAATACTGTGTTTTCATGATTAATGAATTCACTAAACCTTAAATATCTATTTTAAGTACATTTTTAGATGGAAAAAGTTTTCATAAGAGTGAATGGGATTATTGTTAATTTCTTCACAATTTGGCATCGTTTCTTTTCTCCCTGTCCTATGAAAGAAACATTAAATGGCCCTTGGTGAAAATAAAAGAAGTTCAGAGAAGAAAAAATTGGTCACTGTATTGAAATATCATCTGTAGAAAAGAAATGGGATTTTGTGAGTTTCAGAATAAGGCAGGTCTACTTTTCTCTGTTTTAATTAATGATTGAGATGTTCTACAAGAAGTGGGTAAAGTAGTAGGCAGGTTATGGAAAATCCTCATTCTTGATGGGTTTACTTTATGGAGTTGCTGTGCAGAAAGAATAGAAAGGGAAGGCCTTTTTTGAGCCAAACTTTCTTCCTGCTGGTTTTGTGGAGAAGTACACATAGGGGGTTTTGGAAGTAATATGAACATGGTTTGTCACCTGTCATCTTCTGGATTTTTTTCAACTTCCCAGGCTAGTCTACAGCATGCTTTTTCCTGAAATACAGACATTTAATCTGCCCAGCTCAATTTTCATACCACAATTTGCTGGTCCTATTACTGTTTTCAATGATGTTGTATTTTACAGAACCTCATGTATTGTATCTGTTCACTCTTAATTGCAGAAATCTTTTAAAAAACCTTTTAATCATGTACAGTATTTAAAAATGGCCAGGGGGAGGGGTGGCATGGATTGAACATGGGAGGTTTCCTTGCCATGTTTGGCTTAGTCGCCTAGTTGTAAGAAAGAGAAGCAGCAGCTTCTCCCTGTCACTACAGTGGAGCATTCATCCGCGGTAGTTCAGGGAGGTCATGCTGAATTCTTTCTTCACCATATGCCTGTGCTTTAAATAAATCCATCAGCAGTAGCAGCAGCAGCAGGTGGCAGGTAATGAAATCAGCTCTGATGCATAGAACAGTTTGAGGAGAGATTATTAGGAAGCAGAGAAACAGTGTGGTTTCCTATTTCAAAGAGAAGCATTATCCTAAATTGGCAGAAATGCCAAAAGAAATAAAAACCCGTAAAACAATAGCCCAGGAAGAGAGGAATTAAGGTAGAGCAATGTTAAATGATAGCCAGCTTTGGTTTTGCAAATTAAAGCTTTGGGTTAGGTGCCAAATTTTAACCAAATATAGAAATGTCTACTTTTCTTAAGTTATCTTCTGTGCTATGTGACTTGGCTCCTATCTTGGAACATCCCCTTTTTGCAACTAGGTTATCTTCCTAAAACTAGTAAACAGAGACAGTTATAGAATAAATGGCAAGGGTGTTAGGATAAATTAACTGTGTTCCTTGCTCAGCAAACTGGCTTGAAGAAAGAAGGAATTTAATCCTGAATGCTGAGTTAACCAAACTATCTGGCAGACTGATTGGATGTTACTATATCCTCAGAATGATTAAACATTTGAAGCCCCTTTCAGAAAAATCACTGAAAGAGGAATGGGGTATTTTGTAGTTGCTGGAAGGTTTTGAGAACCTGACCCACCCACCCACTCTTTTTTTCTCAATTCTAATCTAGATAATTGCCTTATGAGGGCCTTAGACCTATATCTGACACTATCATACTAGATATAGGACCAAGCTGTATTTTGAGTATTGATTAAACTTTTAACCAGCCAATTGATTTAAATTGTGTTAAAATATATATTATGGTATTTTGAGCTATAGGTTGACTAAATAATAAACTGAATAGTTTGTAAATTATATTAATGCATCAATTCTATCAAAATAGTTGTGATAAAGTCAAACACCAGCTTACTCATGAGGTGTGGATTCTCTTTAGCATGTGTCACTACAGGTTTTAACACACTTAGCCAATTTGGCAACAAGACTATAGACCATCAAAGAAAAGCTGGGATATATTCAGTACAGGAAGAAGTTAGGAATTCTAGTCTGCCTTTGTGGGTCAAATTCCTCCAAGATTTTCCTGTTTTGATGTTATGAAATCTACCAGACACTGACTTTCAGCTGGAAATTGAAGCATCATAGTTGGAGTCAGTGAATTAAGTTCACCAGTTAGAAGACAGCCTGCAGAATTTCTTTATAAAAAGACTCTGAAGCCTTGTACCTGAGTTATTTTTTGTTTGTTTTATTCTTCCTACACCCCTTTGACATTTCTGTTTGTTGGTTATAAGACTAAACATTTTACAAGGAACAAGCTTGTTTCTAGACAAACCTTGACCTTGATGTTTAAAGGGAAAGGATCAAATAAAAAGTCAATTTCAACACTTCCCTCACTGCTGTGAGAACCCTTGCACTTATGCACTGGTCTATCTATTTCCTGCAAGTGACATCCACATCAATATTTATTTATTTATTTACAATTATTTGTATGCTGTCTATTCAATCAGATCTAGGTAGTTCTAATTGTAATTCTATTTGATTTTCCACAAGTGTGCCATTGTGGGAACAGTCGATAAGAAATGTTATTATATAAATAATCAAGTAATTGAATTATTACATGGAGCTTTTAAGTGATTCTCTCATATTCCATACAGTTTTCCACCACTGCAATAGTCTGTGTAGAACGGTGTATTTACAAGAAGTGTTATAATTTCTCTGACTAGGAAGCTTGTCCTAAATTATATTCATGCTTCTGAGAATCATATTAGGCAGGAAGAATTGCTTGCAATCCTCTCTGCTAGGTCCACAGTGCAGACTTTTTCAATTACATAATATGTGGGTCACTGTGTATCTTTGATTGCCTGCTCCTACCTTCCACATTCTTCTATGCTGCATGTGCTCATGGCAGAGTAATTGAGTTTGATTCTAAGAATGACTAGGTGAGTTTATTGGTCAGTTTTCTTTTCTCAGAGGATGGTGAAGTCATGTAATTGTATAATGCCAGAACACTGGATATTATGACAAGCTTCAAATATGCATACAGAGCATATTTGTCCATATACTATTTTTACAGCAGTACTACGAAAGTAACTTAAATGAAAGATATCCACAAGTGGTTAATTTTGCATCATAATGTTTTTCCTTTCCAAGCCACCTGATAGCAATTTTTAATTTCTTCTGATATGATTATAGATATGGTGCGTTTCTTTAATGGTCACAGATGATTAGGCTATGAGAGTTCTGTTCCTCTAAATATTCTGGGTTTTTGTATGTAGCGATATTTTCACCTTTTATTTATTTGTTTTCATTCTTTTATTTGAAACATTAAAAAAAAAAAATCCAAAACTTTGTTTGCAAAACTGCTATTGGACCCCGATATCAATATTATCATATGTTCCCAGGTTCTCTGTTGTTCTATTCTATGTTCACTTGGGAATATACAAAGTCCCCTGACAGAAATAAGTAAAAATGAAACAATTGTGCTAAGTACCTCTTGCTTTGGTTTAAGCAGAAATTAGCATGGTTATATAACCCAATTGTAATTTTTATTGAGTATCCATATACACTACCTAAATATGCCTCTTTATATAGCTGTATTCATTCAAGGTTATGCTCAAAATCCTACAAGCTAGGCTTCAGCAATACATGAACCGAGAACTACCGGATGTACAAGCTGGGTTTCGAAGAGGCAGAGGAACTAGAGATCAAAT